TGGAATTTTGGGTCAAACGAGATGTTCCTGCGATATTTTCGTGATGCAATTCTTTCTTTATATAGTAGAAAGTTTCAAGTCAGCTGATGGTACAGCGAACTGTAGGTTGGTTTCTTTCATGTCATATAAAAGTGGCTATAGGAACGGTTCCGTATGCTCTTTCATTTGGGAAATTTGGCATCATTGGTTTCTTGTGTATTGTTCCATTAACATTCCCAAGTTACGGAACTCTTCTATCTTGGTTCTAATAGTCTCCAGTGAATTATTAGAATCAAGTTTTGTTAATGGTGGTCAATTATTTACTCGTATATGCTGTATATTATTCTTCATAGAATTGTACAAGACGACTTGTTGTCCCGCTCTATAGTTCAGCAACTAAATCTGGTGAAAGTTGTGTTCCTGATGAATACACAGATGAACAAATGCGTATACATTTTTGCGTTCTCCTCGATGTGGTTGAAATGTTGACTGACAGTTGTGCAAGAAGCCCTCAATTTTGAAAAATCACAGAAGGAAATTAGAAAATATCTGCTTTCAAACATATTTCGAAGAAGAAAATTTCATAACAGTCATTTTCATCTAATCAGATGCTTTATTTCGACATTTTTACTATGGTTACCAGCAAATTTGTTGGACATTTTTCATCTACTTGAGCATGTAGACGTAAAATTAATAAGTGGAAATATTCTGGCACATGAAAGCAGACAAAATTGAAATAATTTTGGCAATATTTTTCATTTTTTGGAAACTTATAGTAAGAAAATCATATGAAATCAATTATTTTCATATAATAATGCATGTATCTGATACTATAAATTATATTTTACTAGGGAACAGGGAGAGTGAATATTTACTTAATGTTTTCTTTTTGAATATAATTCCGATATGAATTTTTTTGGTGAATACACCACATGCATGAATTAAATGCAGGAAAATTGTCTCGTACTTGACTTTTTAAAGAAAATTAACCCTCGTCGCCTCTCGACTCGTGATAATTCTCAGAAGATTCATGTAGATACTCAAAAAAATTACGGCAATAATTCATTACCCATGGAGATATTAGTAATAATTTCATAACCTATATGAATCCAAAGAGAAAATAATTGAAAGTTGAATGTGCATGCGAGATGAGAATGAAAAGAAAAAAAAGCGTGTCATTTCAACTAGATTCCAAATAGAATTGATTTTTTAACAATCACAAATGTAAGAAATTCTGTGTATACGACTACCAAGCCTGCGGCTTGGCTTCAATCCATGCAAGGGTCAATTTTCTTCATTTTGTTCTCTCGAGTGGGTAATTTTCCGAAAAATATACTTTTTAGGAAGAAAGTTCATTTAGGCCGAGCTAGATTAGATCGATTAGAAAAAGTCTCCCATTTTACGCAGGAAGGTTATTTTCTTTCCTTAGTACTTCAATACGTCTTGAAAATTCAAAGAGCCACCAATGAAATTGGTATAGCTAGACGTCGGTCGGATCAGGTCGGTGTTCTTCTAATCGTGCCTTCGCGACACCATGCTAAGGGTGATAGAATCGGTACAACTACTATAATGGCAGTGATTACGTGCTCAGATGAGTTTCACTGTTATAGAGGTGTTTGTATTGTGCATGGTCCTTTGTCGTTGTTTGTATACGTCAATTATTTAGCGGGCACAAAGCAAAGTTTACGATAACAACTGGTCGAGGCACTGGTCCATCGGAAAATATTGACGCTCTGCCACTAACTTAGCTTAGTTTGAATTGCGGCATCTTTAATTTAGCGGGCACAAAGCAAAGTTCACGATAACAACTGGTCGAGGCACTGGTCCATCGGAAAATATTGACGCTCTGCCACTAACTTAGCTCAGTTTGAATTGCGGCATCTTTGGATATTCGCAAAGGGGATATTATATGACATTATCCCCTTCCATTTGCTATTTGTTTCAACTCTTTATCACATGACGGAAGTATACAGGGTGGCCCACGGTCGATGGTAACTTAGACGTATACGGAAAACGGTACATTGGATTATCCTGAAAATTTGGTTACTCTAATAAGCGTTTGTGATCTAACGATTCAAAATATTTTCAGCGAAGCAGCGTTGCCACTTTTACCAAAAAGTAGCATCATCTTTGTTATTTCAAATGGAACACCCTGTATTTTATTGCGTTTTTAGATTTTTCTCGGAAAGCTGATTTCATCAATGCATCACACTTGGGGTCTAGCAGGAATTATTACAGAGATATAGGGTGTTCAAAATCGAGATTTTTCAACTTTAGGATTTTTTTTGTGTCGAAACTATTCATCATTGGTCAAAACGGCTTACATGTCCCTGTATTAACTTTTGATTAACTATCTACCGACATTTAATTGGAAAAAATACAGGATGGTCCAAGATTCAGAATTTTGATCACCCTGTATCTGTTCCAATTAAATGTCAGTAGATAGTAAATCAAAAGTTGAGATAGGGACATGTAAGCCGTTTTGATCGATAATGAATAGTTTCGACACAAAAAATTCCTGGAATTGAAAAATCGCGATTTTGAACACCCTATATCTCTGTAATAATTCCTGCTAGACCCCAAGTGTCATGCATTGATAAAATCAGCTCTTCGAGAAGAATCTAAAAACGCAATGAAATACAGGGTGTTCCATTTGAAATAACAAAGATGATGCTACTTTTTGGTAAAAGTGGCAACGTTGCATCGCTGAAAATATTTTGAATAGTTAGATCACAAACGCTTATTAGAGTAACCAAATTTTCAGGATAATCCAATGTAGCGTTTTCCGTGTACTTCTAAGATACTATCGACCGTGGGCCGTGGGCCACCCTGTATGTGGATTTAGCTCAGATTGAGAGCTGGCACAGGTATAGGTTTTTGAGATCTACCTACCATACTACCTAGTCGGAAAAATTGAACATGTGCTATGCATTTGAGTAAGGATTTCAGTAACTTTTCACTTCTGTGAATGAAATGAAACTGAATTCAATCTCGAAATCTTATGATGACTGATTGAGAGTTTCACACTCTTCTTGACTTTTTGTTATATTTATTTTACTTGTTCTTTCCCTATAAGTCTTGAATTTCTATTCGATCAAAGGTTCCGTACCTACTTCAATTTAGACAATATGGTACAGGTAGGTAATTATCATCAAGGAATTGAAATGAAATTAGACGACATTCTACTATATATAATATGTATATTACAAATATTTACAACTATATCATTATTACAACCATCCAAACCTCCCCTTCCATCTATAATTCGATCTCTTTTCGTTTCATCATGAGCAATCAAAGAGTACCCACATTCTCCAAATTCCAAAATCTGGATATAGGTAGGTATTTTGAAGAACCTGTAGGACAACTTAATTTGATCAAGTTTTTTAAATGTCCATCCTGTTCAATTCAAGTTGTGTCCCTGCTAAACGAACCATTTTTAATATATCATAATACCCCATATTGCACTTGTCAAAGTTGAAATCTTTGTTAGAACTCTCGGCACTTCACTCAAAGGGCTTTTCAAGTTACCTACAATCGATCTTAAAACTCAATTTTGTTGATGAAATTTAGAAAATAGGCGCGGGGACTCGACCGTGTAAATTCAGTTAAAATCTAATATATAAATAAAAAAATTATATATGGCTGAAGATTTTTCAATGCAATATGCTGCGATTCCTGAAAAAATACCAATTGGAAATCTTACGATTTCATGAGACATTCAAACATAGTGAAGGTACATTCCTTGCCAGTACTGATATCATTAGTTCCATGATTTAGTTGAAATATAATATTAATAGAAAAATAATTTATGTCTAGTTCAATATGCTGTGATACCTCAAAAAAACCAATTGGAAATCTTACGATTTCATGAGACATTCATATAGTATATAGGTATGCCTTGCCAGTACTGACGTCATTAGTTCCATGATAGTATAGGAAATATGCAGAAAGTATAACAGTTTTTGTATTCACATCCAATTGAATGATTCCGATAATGAATTAGTTTGAAAAAATCTCAAAATCTCGATGATGATAGGAAACAAAACAAATGAACTATATAGTGTTTTTCGAATGATGCTCAGTTCATCCATGAGATTGCTAAATTATTATATTGTTATTGTTTTTATATGTGGTGTTTACTAAAGTTCATCAAGGGGTTGGAGTCGATACTTTTCAACATAACCATTTCATTTCTGAGGCTATTTATATACTAGCAATAACTTTGATGCATATAACATACGATCGGTTGAAGTACCTACTGACGTCAGTACTGCTGGTAATGTTTCTTTGTGAAACTATTGACAATATGAAATTGAAAGGAATTCTTTATAGAGGTCATGATCGAGGTCTTGTCATAGACTCTTCAAGAGCTACAATTGGCCTAATTGCCATGGCGATTGAATCTTGTGATTTGTGTTGTTTTATTCATGTAATAAAAGTGTTCTTGCCAAATTCCATACTTTCCTGAATATTTGTAATTTCTTTTGAAAAGGAAACATTTACGTGAATCACAATCCAATTCGAAACATAACTCACTTTTGCCATAGGGCGATAAGAAATTGAGGGTAGAGGAATAACTCTTGTTCTTCCTGTAAAAATGATCAAGCCATCAGATTTTCTTGGGAACTAACACTCAGGCTCACATTGAGGAGGATAAATCTACGATTGGGTCGAAATTCCACCAGAATCGAAGAAGAATTAAAAATGTTACAGGGCAATCGATATCGCAAAATTTTTAAATGATCAGCGGATTTTTTTGCCCGTGTGTTCTAGTTGGGACACGCTCTGGTACTTGAAAAGCCCTGTACAGAAAACACATTGCTAGATCACCCTTGGAAGACACCTCGCACCAAGTGCGGTGGCGCCTGGTGCGGATGGAACCCGCGCAAGTCCAGCTAACTCGCACCTAGTACGGTGGTGCCTGATATGGATGTAACTCGCGCAGGTCTAGCTAACTCGCACGTAGTGCCGCGGCGCCTGATGTGGATGGAACCCGCGCAGGTCCAGCTAATTCGCACCTAGTGCGGCGGTGCCTGGTGCGGATGGAACCCGTGCAGGTCTAACCCGGCTCTCAGGGCCGCGTGACTCGCCAGGACACGCCCGGCGAGGTCCCCGAGGGCCCTCTCAAGCTGCTGGTGCTGCGACCGCACCGCGAACCTGTTCACGTGCACCGGGATGGGCACCACTAGCTTGCCCTTCTGCTGTCCGCCCTTGCCGCCCTGCACGTAAAAAGCGAATGTCAAACCAAAGATTACTAACGCCTCCATCAGGTTCCAGATTCCATGGGCATACGAGTCTGGTGAGATGTCAGGTGACCTATATGTATGCTTAGTCCAGCCAGTACATCGAATTTATGATATCCAGTTGGAAATCATCTATATCTTCTTGAAATTCACATCAACGTTCCAGTGTCATCAGGAACAGTAAATCGGCTCTTATAACCAGTACAATCATTCCATGAAGATTGTTTCATAAAATCATCGAGTACATTAAAAGCATTCAGCAAAATAGTTACATAACCTTCCAAATCTTCAAGTAATAATACTTTTAGGACAAGTATATAAAGTGAAAGTAAAGGTAAAAGTGAAGATAAAAGTAGAAGCAAAAGTCTGGCAGAACTATAACATAGGAAAAATAGAAAACGTGTTGTAATAACGTAACCTTGAGATGATGAAAGTTTATAAATCAATTTCCTTGAATATGGCCCAAATTCCATAAAAATAAACATTTCAATAAATCAAAAATGTTTTAAATAATTGGGTATTTACCTCTAATTAGCTGTTTTCACGATAACTTGTGGATGATCAAAAACGTGATTTAGCAGACATCCGCATACGAGTTCATTTCATGGTGGCCAGAGGCAGGAAGGAACGATTTTCGATTTTTTTTCTCTTTTCTAGTTGACAATAAAAAATTCAAATGTCCATGTCCTAAAGGCCAAAAAATCATAATATCCAAATAGCCAAAATCGATTCAACTGTTGCAATAACCAATACCAGGTTCAAATGAATAATCAATACAGATCAATAAGATAACGCTGACGGCATACTGCATACTGCTTAGAGGATGGAGAGAAGTCCATTCTTGGTATGTTACTGTCGCGATCCTGCTCGTTGAAGGCTGAACGCTGAACTACTGGTTAATGCAACATGAGACAATGAACAAGAAAAAGAAGAATGAAAATTACAATTTTGAACCTTAACTGCTTGTTTGACATTTCAGCTGAATGTTTTCAGAATAAACTGAAATAATAAACTTTCATCAAATCAACACAACATAATTGAATTCAATTCAAATTATGTAAAGAATAAACAGGATAATCTCCGACGAATTCCAGTGACTCGCAGCTCCATGAGATCTGTAACAGAGAAGCTCAAAATTTTCTACAAAAAGGAGTGCAAATTCTCAAAAAACATTCAGTGAAAACCAGAGTTGAATCAATTACTCTGAAAAGGTCAGTTGAATACTTGGTACTATCAATATCTCGTAGAAAAAGTAACATTCAATAAAAGTAGATGTTACACCAAGGTTATTCTTACCGTGTGGTGGTGCGGCCCGGTGCCAAGGCCAGCCTTGACCCTTTTCCACTTGGCGCGCCTGTTCTGGAACCAGATCTTCACCTGGACCTCGCTGAGGCGCAGCGCCGAGGCTATCTGGCTGCGCTCGGTGAGCGACAGGTACTTCTTGGCGTGGAACTCGCGCTCGAGCTCGAGCAGCTGCTCGGAGGTGAAGGCGGTGCGGCGGCGACGCGCCTTGGAGGAGGGGCAAGAGGGGTCGGCGGAGGGGGGGTCATCTTCGTCCTCGAGGTCTGAGGTGGCTGGAAAAGGAATTGACTGAAGTCAATCTAGGCCCAGATTTACAGTTTGACTATTCTATAGCTTGGCCCCTGAGATGCGCAAACGATAAACAGAGATGGTTAGTATGCGACAAAGATTCTTTACACCTTTTTATTGATGGGATGTACATTCGTACTGTACTATTCTAACCGATGTTTACTGAACCAGTTCCTCGAAAATAAGGAGCTGTTGCTCCACTACGCCGACTGGTCTACTGCGCATCCAAGTCTCAGAGGCCAAGCTATAATGGTCAAGCTGTACCATACAGTTTTGACATCAGAATGTTAGAAGATTATGCATCTTACTAATTTTGTTAGGTCAATTAATTTACGAAAACCATTTTAAAACTATTTGAAAATATTCAATATCAACTTCTAGGGGAGTAGTGGACCGTGAGGGGAAAAGGGAAAGGATAAGGTGGGAATTTTCACGTGCCCATTTTTCTGACAAAGGTAAATCCGGGAATGAATAACTCATTCATTTATTCAACATTGTATAGTTTGTCCAAAATCAATTGCAGAGTCTTGTGCTGACCCGCAGCCACTTCAGAGAGAACAAGCCGACGCCGCACAGTGCGATTGATATTGGATATAGTATACGCACTTACATGCAAAAAAATCGGCCAGTAAAATATTTAGTCAAATTGATCGCCCTGTAACTTTTTCAATTCTTGTCTGATTTTGGTGAAATTCCGTGAATATATGTTTAGAAATGTTAATCTGAATTTTAGTTTTCACAAAAAATTAATGGCATGATTATCATACAGAGAAAAACGAATGATTTTTAATGACAAAGTGCTACAATATATCAAAAACCATTGATAGACAAATGTTGTCTTTTTTATGCATTCAAAATCATTAAAGGTTGTCTTTGTAATTCCTGAAAAACTGCTTCTGTTGTTGCACTTAGTTCTTCAGAATTGTTGATTGTGACTTTTACGGTAGTGTGTTAGGGACAATGAATATCAATTTGAACAATTCAATGAATCGAAAAGGTACTGTATAATTCGAAATTCAATTGTTTTCGTAAATATTCAATCAGGTGCTTATTCAACATTATGAATTTTTTATTATTATTTATCTGTTGATGCTATCAGGTTAATTAGTGAAGGTATTGTTTTTGTACCCTACATGGAAAAATCAAAAGAAATATTCCCTCAATCAGAACTTTTTTTATATGAACAATCCATAAAATTCAATGTTGTAGTGATTTTTGCAAATTGTATATTTATACATTACATATCATTTGGAAAAGAAAGAAAAAGGATTTCAATTACATGGAACGAATAAAAAAAATATCATCTATTGGCATGAAACCTTGTAATGACTAGATATTTCAAGTTGATATTCGAATAATTTTTCACCAAAAATTTTCCAGAATAGAAAAAATCTAATTGCCACATCTATTTTTCGTAGTTTATATTCAGCAAAAAGTTCATTATGAGAAAATCGAAAACTTTCAATATCATTGAAATAAAGAAAGATTCGGAAAATAATAAATATATGGAAAAAGTGATATTTTCAATATATTATCTTCTCGATACTCCGTTTCCGAGAGTATTTCGAAAAAAATTTATATGGATGTAATTTTCACTGACAGAGCTCCTAAAAACAAATGTGTCAAATAGAATTTTCCTATTCTGGTAAATTATTTGGTAATAAATTAGTCGATTATCAACTTGAAATAAGTAGTCATTAAGTATTTCAAAACAGATTCTATGCCTGTTATAGGTTCTGGAGAATAACAGCGAATGTACTCTTTAATTATAGTAACACACATTGTAGAATGACCATAATTCGTCCAATGTGTAGTCTTCAAGTCATGCTTTATCAAATTATCTAGTAACTGATATTGGATCGCCATAGCAAAATGATTTAAATCGCATTAATAAGACAGCTAGGCTTTCCCCTATTTAATACATCTTTTTTAAGAAGATTATTCAATTTTTAATAACCGTTATCCGCTTTTTTCTCAGTGATTATATACATATAACAGTACAGTGCATGCTCTCTGCTATAGCTACACAAGCTTATACCCTATTTCCAGAGATGTTTCAGTCAACTACCTAAAGAAAACAAAGCTCTCTGACGGTTACACGCTACATAAATTTAATAAACCATGGCAAATCGAGTAGAAAATAATGTTCGAAATTTTAATAACCCATAAACGAGGCGAACATTAAACTCCGCCAATGAAAACAATGTTATAAAATTGTCGAGATCATAATATACACTGCACAGAGTGACGTCGAGAATAATTTTGTGGCCAATGGGTCGATTGTTATTCAAACAGAATTTGGCAATGTGTTTCCGTCCAAACTGCAGAAGGACAATATGCTGAATTTGCATGAGGAATCGATTATGGGCTCTGTTGTCTGCCAAAATTATTCTAGACTGATGCCAACAAAAGACCACCAGTATAGAGTTGAGGAATTAATATATCTACTCAGCTTACAGTCATCTCTACAACAATGTGTTCGATAGATATGTTCCGAAATTCACATCTTCGAAGAAAACAACTAATCACCCTCCCTGGTTCAATTCTCAAATCATAAAGAAAATCAAACAGAAGTCCAAAAATCAGCTTATAATGAATTTTCACGTCTGAGGCTAGACATCTATAGATTATTCAGAAAGAATTACAATAGGTTTATAAAATAATTGAATGACATTTCACAATAATTAGAGCTACCTAAATAAGTTATTGCACCTAGATTACAAGCAATGTGTATGTGCAAAAATCTAAGAGGTTATGTTAGTTTCTTAACATATAAAGTAGTGAAATAAATTATTATTATCAATAATATTATCCTACAACCTACATGTACTTAAATGAAGAAATGCTAAGGGAATGAGAATAAATATACAAGAATTAAAGGAAGAAAAATCTTATGCACGAAATGCAGAGAATTACCTACATTAGTTTTACAAATAATGTTTTATAATTACTGTAGATAATAGGCTTACATTTTTTTACAGATGCATTATATTTAGAAATATTTCTTATGTGAATTGGAATAGAATTGTAAGTTTTTGGAGCTAGGCTCGTAATGAATCTTTGGTTACCGTCTTTTCTGTAAAATGGAACAATTAAATTCTGGTTGTATATTTGTCTAGTTTGGTATGTATGCTCAACTTTTGTTTGTAAGTCCTTGTTTTTATACAAAAAAAGACAAATATTATAAAAATATAGCATTCTGATGTTGAGTATATTGTCGTCATAGAGCTTTTCCGTAGCGAATTGTTTTTCTTTTTGAAAGATGACCTTCAAAATATAGTTTTGTACAACATTCACAGGTTCGAGTGAGTTTATGTATAGACCACCCCACACAATTATAGCATACTGTAGAATAGACTCAACTAAAGCTTTATAGATAGATATAACAAGTTTTTTATTCGTGAATTTACGTAGCTCATAAAACTTTAAAACTAGCCTTCTCGTTTTAACAACTAGATAATAGGAAGTTGAAATTTGGTCTGTTGACATCAGTTAGAGAAAATGCAATAAATTTTGATTTATCTATATTTAGGGTTAATTAATTTATCTATATTTAGGGTTAATTCATTAAAGAAATTAGCGAAGCCTATAGAGAATATATCAATACTGTTGAAACAGATCTTATTGATAATCCCAATAGATTTCGGAGTTTCACTAACAGTAAAAAAGGGAAATCTCGTATTGCTGATCAAATGATTTATGAAGAAAGGATGGTAGATACTCCTGAAAGTATCTTAAATGTCTTTGCTGATTTTTTCGCATATTTCGATATTTCCGCTAAAAGACACATCAGTCACTTAGAACATCATTCAAATTGACCAAAAATGACGACAGGCCCAGATGACATTCCAGCGTTTGTTATTCGGGACTGTGCTCAGCTTCTTGATGTATTTCCGCTCACTATCCTCTTCAACTTATGTCTAAAATCCAACATATTTCCTGAAGCATGGACGCTATCAAAGGTCTGTCCGATTTATTAAAAAGGAAACGAGTTTGATGTTGAAAATTTCAGACCGATATCAATAATATCGAATTTCAGTAAGGTATATGAGATAGTCATCTACAATAGGCTATTTGTGAAGTTTTTAAAATCTTCGATCACTTTTCTTGAAAGCGTATTTTGCTAACAAGCTGCAGTTATTCATTTTCATGATTTGGCGAAGAAGATCTTTCGCCAAAATATGAAAATAGACAAAAAGAGAATTTCCGCTTCCGCCAAAATATGGAAAAGAAGTAACGTGGAATGTGATTTAATCATACTCAAATTGCACCTATTTTCCGAAAATTCTCAACCTCACTATAGGTTACACTTGCATAAGCACTTTTTTCTGTGTAGCCTATAGTGAGGTCAAAAATATTTGGAAAAGAGGTGCAATTTGAAAATATGAAAGATATATTCCCCTAACGCCTAACTTTACAAACATTCACCATTATCACGTGCTTTCGAAAAGAAGAAAAGTTGAGCTTTTGTTTATGCTAGTTACGCCATTGACATGGTGAGTATCATAATAAATTCAAAGTTTTCAATCGAATTCAATAATCTGATTGCCTCATCAACTTCATTTTTTTAGCTGTTTTCAATTCAGTAGGTGCTTGATTTATCGACATATTTATAGGAGAGTTAAACTGCTGATAGAGAAGTAGCTCTACCTGCTCTATACCTTGCATTGAGTAGGATTCAGCCATCTCAGTTTTATTAACTTGTTGAGGCATAGTAAAATGACCAGCTAACGCTGGCAGTTTCGCCGAAGATTTGTATATCTCAGGTGATTCAGTTTTTCCAATAATCACTGATGTTTCGTAATATTCAAGATACAAGTTTTAATGCGACGGTAGTATTGGCACCGGCACTTGCCATATTTTATAAATTCCATGATAAACTTTTTGTACAGTTGAATCATTTCACAATTGGAGTTTTTGATATAGGAGGAACACTCCTATTTGTGAAAATCTTATCGTTTGGGAAGTTTTTACAAAAGTAGATACCTACATCCCACATAAAAATCTTCGATTATTTTTCTTGAAAGCGTATTTTGCTAACAAGCTGCAGTTATTCATTTTCATGATTTGGCGAACAAAATATGAAAATAGACAAAAAGATGTTTCCCGCTTCCGCCAAAATATGGAAATGAAGGAACGTGGAATGTGGTGTAATTATACTCAAATTGCACCTCTTTTCAAAATATTTCCAACCACAATGTAGGTTACACTTGCAGAAGCACTTTTTGTTTGTGTAGCCTATAGTGAGGTCGAAAATATTTGGAAAAGAGGTGCAATTTGAGAATATGAAAGATATATTCCCCTGACGGCTAACTTTACAAAACAACCACCATTATCACGTGCTTTCGAAAAGTAGAAAAATTGAGCTTTTGTTTATGCTAGTTACGCCATTGACATAGTTAGTATCATAATTGATTCAAAGTTTTCAATCGAATTCAATAATCTGATTCTGATTGCCTCATCACGTTCATCTTTTTTAGCTGAGAGTTTTACTATGCTGAAGAAACGAAGGAAATCGTAGAAAATGGCGAAGAACGAAGTGATATAGCAACTGTGAAGAGAGGAGTACCGCAAGGATCAGTTTTGGGTCCCCTTCTGTTGTTGATTTACATAAATGACCTCCCTTACACTATGAATTCTATGTACGCAGCAACGATTATGTATGCGGACGATACTACGTTTGGCATTGAATTGGAAAAAGAAGAAGATACTGAACTTTTTCTTTCACTTATCTTGGAGAAGGCTAGGGCTTGGTTCGAGCACAATGATATGCTATTAAATGGAAGTAAAAGTAGGAGTCAAACTTTTGAAAATGTTACTCCTGAAAATTCAAATAACCATGTTGATTTGGGAGTTGAATTAGATACAAAGTTGCAATGGTCAGAACATATAAATATATTGTGTGGAAAACTCTCAAGAACAGTGTTCGCTATCAGGAAAATTCGTTATTCACTTGGCGAATCAGCTGCACGCACAACATATTGTGCACTCTTCCACTCTGTTTTAACATATGGAGTTTTTGATATAGGAGTGTTTGCAAAAAAAAATACTTCTGGTTCTGGTTGGTGCACCTAGGAGTCAGCCCTAGGGCCTTCAACGAGGGACGCCACTGGACTGTAGACTCTGTCATTTTCCTATAACCCAGTTAATTCATTCTTTTCCATAGTTTCACTCACCATTCTCTGTATACGGGGCTATGCAATTTGCGTCGAATGGATTGAAATTATTACAATTTTTTTACGAATTATGATTATCCCTTTGAATGAAATGAATGCATCACGCATTGTTGGGTCTATATAAATCCCCCCAAAAGCAAAAGTACTTACCCTAATGAATGCTTACGTAGGCTAATTGAGAGTTTTCATGCCACCGGATATGGGAAAATTGATGGTATTATACATAGTTATCGGAACCCCCTTAGTAATCCATTATCGGGTTGGAACTGCATAATTCAATAAAAAAGGGTCTAATTGCCACAAAAGTAGCTATCCGCATGCACACGGACCATGATAATTATTGTTTTTAAAACAGGCCTATATAGATTCCTTGTAACATATTCAATTTTCATCAGCGTTTTTGTTTCGATTCGGATTTTGTTCAATGAAAGCAACTGATTAAACTTCAAGTCGCTCTTCATATTATCATCACAGTTGTGTCTATGTGAACGATTTTGTCATTATTTTTGTAGGCCTTATTTCACTTGGTTCTCACGATGTTCTCTGAACATTACAGGATATTCCTTTTCGTGGGTACCAGAACATAAAAAAAAGTACTCGCTTTATCCAGAAGAAATCGTTTCCTACAGCTAAAACACGAAACAACTGCTCTTTCTCAACTGTTTCTTATAAAACAATGAGGTACCCATGTTCTACATTGTATTTCTTCTATTTCATTTCCTTACCAACTATAAAACAATTATTTCATTGTATTACAGTCGTGATTATTATTATACAATAAATCTCAGCTCCCATGACTCCGAAATTGAATACAGGCTGATTCACGGTGGATGGCACATTAGACGTTTCTGGTGAACCAGACAACGGATCATTTTGAAAATTCAATGGAGGGCATATTCGGACATTCTCTAGCCAACTAAAATATTTTCGACAATGCGGTGTTGCCGCTTCTATTAGAAAGCAGTAGCAACTTTGATTTTTCAAATGGAACACTCTGTATTTTATTGTATTTTTAGATTCTCCCTGAAGAGCAGATTTCATTGATTTATCACACTTGGGGTCTAGCGGAAATGATTACAGAGATATAGGGTGTGAAAAATCGACATTTTTCAACTTTAGGAATTGTTTTTGTCGAAACTATTCATTATTGGTCAAAACGGCTCACATGTCCCTATCTCAACTTTTGATCAATTATCTACTAACATTTAATTGAAACAAATACAGGGTGGTGCAGAATTCAGAATCTTGATCACCCGGTATATGTCCCAATTAAATATCAGTAGATAGTTAATTAAAAGTTGAGATAGGGACATGTAAGCCGTTTCGACCAATAATGAATAGTTTCGACACAAAAAAATCCTTAAGTTGAAAAATGTCGATTTTTCACACCCTATATCTCTGTAATCATTTCCGCTAGACCCCAAGTGTGATACATCGATAAAATCAACTCCTCAAGGAGAATCTAAAAATGCAATAAAATACAGAGTGTTCTATTTGAAAAATCAAAGTTGCTACTGCTTTCTAATAGAAGTGGCAACACCGCATTGTCGAAAATATTTTAGTTGGCTAGAGAATGTCCGAATATGCCCTCCATTGAATTTTCAAAATGATCCGTTGTCTGGTTCACCAGAAACGTCTAATGTGCCATCCACCGTGAATCAGCCTGTATATGGCGGTATATAATTGCAATATAAAAATCTTCTATTATTTTTTATGATGGCATATTTTGCGAATAAGCTGCACTAATTCATTTTCATGATTGATTTGGCGAAGAAGATCTTTCGCCAAAATATGAAAATAGACAAAAAGATGCAAAAAGAGTATTTTCGCTTCCGCCAAAATATAGAAATTAAGGAACGTGGAATGTAGTTACATTATACTCAAATTGCATCTCTTTTCCAAATATTTTCATCCCCATTATGGGTTACACATGCAGAAGCACTTTCTGTGTAGCCTATAGTGGGGTTGAAAATATTTGAAAAATAGGTGCAGTTTGAGAATATCAAAGATATAATCAATCCCCTACCCATAACTTTTCAAACATCCACCATTATCACGTGGTTTCGAAAAATTGAGCTTTTCTTTATGACTCGAGAGTAGAAGACGATAGCAAATTGTTGTGTTTGTCTCCGATCACGGAATGTCAATGAATAGATATTCTTCTGATGATAGAGCTATGTTTTTGAATGACTTTAAATTATAAATTTGAATTTCATATTATTCCTTTTGTTGAATCATTTCGCTATTTTTTGTTAAAGCCATTGAAAAAATATCTTATAGTGTATAACTCGCATGGAATGCTTATTTCCCATATGTTGTCCATTTTAAGTATGGATATATATGTTCAGTTAATTTCGATTTGTCTATAAAGTATAATACATGTATTGTACAAATTCTACGGAAATGAAAAGTACAGAGTCCAAAAGAAACCTACAATTTCAAATTACAAAATTAAAAATAATGACAAAAAAAAAAGTTTTTCAAGAAACTTTAACCACCTTGTAGCTCGAAAACGGAACTTCAAAACATATGAGTTTACATGTAGTTTTCATTTCCACAAGTTTGATCGTCTATTGAATTTTCCCGATACACTGGAATGAACACATATTCTATATCAAATGAAGTACCTTCAATCCTTTGTATAGGTATATATCGAGGTATATATTGAAACATAATATCTCAGATTATCTTATAGGAAGTCAATTCAATAATGTATCACTTTCCGTAGGCAGATATCTATCAGTTAATTCACTTATTCCACTTCTATATATTGATAGATAGATAGATAGATAGATAGATATATAGACACTTTTATTAATCTGTTTTGCATGAGACATGCGAGACAGGTTCTTATTGTTATAAGTAATATAGGTGATAAATCTTTGTGTCACAGATATCATAATTAAGATTTCCTGTTGAATTGAAATGGCTAGTGAATTCTATCAGCACTGTCTTATTTATATTATTAATGAGATGGTTCGCTCTACACCAACAATTGAAATTTTCGAAGATAATCTTGACTTGATATTGTGATTTAATTCTGTCCTATTGTTGACAGTAACAACAATTGTGTCATCATCCGCATAGTACGTCCCTGAAAGTACGTCCTTGAGCTATGTGATTAGGCAGGTCATTGACATAGAGAGTTAAGGGGAGAGGCCCCAGTACTCCGCCCTGGGGTGTACCAATTCTGATATTATACTCATTAACTCATTTGACCATTCATCCCCCACCTGCACCTTGATAGTTCGGAGTTTGATTCTAATCAAGTTCTTCGGGTTGATCGCGTCAAATGCACGATTAAGATCAAAGAATATTGCCACAACAAGCTATTTGCGTTGATGTTGTCATAGACTACTTAATTCCTTAATTGAAAATGGATATACCCATTGTAAATCTGTGATATATAGATGAACTGTCTCAACCTCATCAATACACTCACCATCCTTCTGACTCCTATTAGACAAATCCTGTGCCAGATCCATATCGACGCTCCCATCCGAATCGGTATCCCTATTCAGTTGCTGGTACTGGCCCTGGTGTTGGTACGCCGGCGGTATGCCCCAAGGTACCATCCCGGTACTCCTCCTAGGGCCGCAATCGCTCATCAACGCCTCTATCGAAAAGGGCCTCGGCACTGGTTTCGTCATCGGTGCACTCTCAATTGTCTTCAACAACGACTCACTAGATGGCAAATCCATCTTCACCGAACCGGAACAACCCGCTCCAAAAGACGAACAGATACTGTTAGAGGTTAGAGCTCGATAGAAACCATCTCCTTGGAGGATGGGCGGGGTTTAGAGGGGCTACGCCTCCACTACCCCAGTGGCTGGGGCTCAGCCAATGGCAAGGGGTCAATCGGCTCAAACGTCCCAGAGTGTTTGAGATGGGTAATTAGCCGTGAAGGTGATTATGCTGTGGCTAATTTAGGCGATTAGCCAATAAACAAGTCGATTCCATCGGTGTTTCGGCATATCTCGTGAATATTCAACGTTTCTGGTGATGTTGATTGGGTTTGACGGCGATTTGAAAGTTAATAGCAAATTCAGATCGGACTTCGAGATACTAGGAATTTGCAAATTTGTTTGTAAATCAATTTAGAAACAAGTCTCAAGGTTCCGCTAATGAATTATTGAGGACTGCATGGAGTAGATTGGTCAATACACAAGGTTTCTCTAACATGTATAGCGGACTAGCGGATTCATCAAATTTTATTTCAATGACTATCATATTGGATCGTACTGGTTGAAAAAGTTCAAAATATCACTGTGTGGAATCAGATTGTTTTATTAAAATTATATAAAAGTTTTGCATTGGTATCCTACTCATCAATCTTCAACTTGTCCTTGATATATCATCCTCTTTTTTCTTTAGTTTTCTATCTTAACTTTATATCTTCTTTAGCTAATTCTTCTTCGTTCCTTCTTTCCGAAAGCCCAACCGCACCATGCATATGCTGCTGGGATGTCAATTCGAGGCTGCTCAGAGCAGATATAAAGTATTTTGGGAATATCTTTGTTCTGGGACATTTTTGCGGACATCTCTGTGTGCCAGGACAATTCGTGGACAACTATATATATACTTATGTGGCCGCACATTGATGAACTTGATGGCTTTTGCAACCTACTCAATCCAAATTGTGGAAACCCTTGACGAGGGTTGAATAGCACCAAGGTTAAATTGTGTCATCAATGGGACATCTGGAAATAAGGTTACAACTCAGAGCCTTGTGCAGGGGACACCACAGTGTTGGACCAACTCCTTCCCTTATATTATACTCGTAAGAGAAAGAACACTTCTGGCCTTCTTCATGGACGAGACCCGGAATCAGAAGAGTATTATATGAATCGACCAGTAAACCCAAAAAAAATCCATTTTTGCACTGTTCATTCACTGGCCAAACTCTAGAAGAAAACATCAATAGCAAACATTTCTTATTCAGAATACTTAATTTGAATATCCCGGTGCAGCACCAAACACTAAAAACAGAAATATCTCTAAAACGGCTTATTTAGGGCTTCGCGAGACCAAGACCAAGACCATCAAGACTGATCAGTCTGATAGTCTTGGTTTTGGTATTGGTATTGATGTTTCAAAACCAAGACGAGACTGGCCCAGTCTTGGTCTTGGTCTTGATTGTCTTGGTCTTGGATCAAAATGCGTCTAGAAATTTGAATTATTCAATTCAAATATCCAACAGTTTATATGCATATAATAGGTAATTCTTATTGCTCTGTCTTTAAAATTGTCAATTTGTGCGTATAAGGTGAGCGAAATAAATTCATCATTTCACCATATAAAATTATGATTTTATAACCTAAAATGAACATTAATTGAGACCCAAACAGCGAACAGGCCGACGCCCGACAGGCCATGCAGTAGCAAGGTTCCAAAGGGTCGAAACTGACAAACAACGCATTTTTAAAATTTGAAATATTTCAAAAATTTTCATATGCAAACCAAATTGTATTGAATTTTTGTTTCTATCTTCAATAGGGAGGAGGTATGGACCACTGTGACCTTACAACAAAACCCTATATATTTGTTGTGAACTCTGAAACTGCAATACTGAATTTGAAAAATGTATTTCGGATTTTGAGTGAACTAGAATTAAAAACCTACCATATGACAGATAAATAACTGAAATAAAATGCCATTACATTTTCCATCAGATTTTTCTTAATTTTGACTAGATTCGAGTTCATTATTTTTCATTCAAGACCAAGACCAAGACTCTATAGAGAGAGCCCTGGTCTTGGTCTCGACAGTCAAGTCTTGGTGTTGATCTTGGGAATATTTATTAAGTCTTGGTACAAGACGAAGAGCAAGACAAGACCAAGACTGGACTCTTGGTCTCGCAAAGCCCTAGGCTTATTCTAGCGAATTTTCACAAGTGTATCTTTTTTTCATGCAAATATTCAGAAAATTATTTCCCCAACAAAAAAGTAAAAAACTACACTGAGAAAAAGTTAAGGCCATTCTGAACCATAAGACGTGCATTGGTAAGCGCCCTCTAATGGCCACAGTGGAAAGGTTACGCATCACAAAAAGCCAGACATTTTCAGAAATTCGATTTTAATTTTATAAGTTTACCACCTTGTATCTCGACTGAGGTAAGTTGCTTTAAATCGTCTTATTTTGACCTCAGGACATATTCCTGGGGTCCTGAGATTCTGAGTAGACCTTTTAGGGACATAATGTATACTCACCCTCAGCTAAACTACTTCGAAATCATCGGGGAATTCCTTCTGCTCCATCTATCAGCTCATCCTGATGTCCTGATGTATAGAATGAGACCTTATACGATGGGTCCCGATGATGTTCCTTGCGGAACATCCAGTTTCCGTCAGTTTTAATGCGAAATCGATGTTTGATCAGTGATCAGTCAGTATAATTCCTTCGGTCTTCACTCATTAAAGTAGCTTTCATCTACTAATTAACTGAGTTGATCGCGTCATATTCTTCCAATTCATTCGTCGTGCATGATCGTTAGCTGTTTGTTTAACAAACGAGCTCTCGATTAATGGACATCATCAGGCTTTAAAACTCCGTTTTGTGATAAACGGACGAATAGAGTCGTGTGGTCGGCTTTCCACATTAAAAATTCATCGTAATTATTGTGTTTCCTCCAAAGGAAATCATCGGCTATATAGAGTAGAGGAAAACTGCCATTCAACGATAATTACGAATAATGCTAATGCAGTTGTTGAAGCTCGTTGGATAGCGAAATAAATGAGCCTTGATCGATTTATTATTAACCTCTTTTGAATGTATATACGATTAGGGACGGGGAAGTTTCCAATATTGAGGTTTTTATCTCACTCTAAAGTTTGTAAAAAATTGATACGTATTTTTCTTTTTGTTGAACTTTACAATTGCGAGAGTAAATTAGGAGTTTGTAAAAAATTGATATATACGTATTTTTCCTTTTGTTCAACTTTACAATTGCGAGAGTAAATTAGGAGGTGTTTTGAAAAGAAAAGTTTTCCCTGCCTAATTTACAGTTGCAACTGTAAATTAGGCAGAAGCTTGTCAGTGATTCTTTGTTTGAAATGGTTTGGAAAAATGTTTGAAGAGAAGGATTTTTACTTATCTTTGGACGTTTCGGGAACGAGTCTGCTCCAGTTCTCAACATAAAATACAGTTATACATAATATACAATTCGGTTACAGGATGTTTTTATCAATTGATCTTATATAAATCTACCATTTTCATGTTCAGTTTTCAGTAGTGAATACCATATGTTCTATCTATATCAACTGAAGAGGATAGAAAAATTTGTTATTTATTTCATAGAATCGAGGAGAAAAAATCAAGTGAAATGAATGTATACCACCTCCTCGATTAACCTACAGACAATATCAGAAAAAACTTGTTTTCCATATCCCCTAATTAACAGTTGCAACGGTATACATCAGCCATAATTTACAGTTCCAACTGTTCCAACAGTAAATTATATAGGAGGTGTTTTGAAAAAAGGTTTGTTTTGCCTAACCTACAGTTGCAACTGTAAATTAGGCAAATATTTGTAAAAAAAAAGTATTTTCAGGATGGCAATTCGGACGCGTCGTATACTTTGAGGATAGGTATATCAACAAAAAATAAATGCAACGTTTATAAGGAAATTATCAATATGTAAGTACTATAGGTGTTCTTATTTCGAATCGATTGACTAAATCCATAGCACAAAAAAACAGTTCAGTTCAATCCCGAAAACACAAGACCGGAGCGTAAAAATCCAGGGATTGCCGGGACCGAAATTTTGTCGGGATGCCGGGATTAACGATCTTGGGATTTCGGGATTGATATCACTAGACCATGTGCTTGCATTATTCGTGATAAAATAATAATTGTGTTGTATTTTTTTTATGTTCTGGTTCCCACGGAAAGGGATATCCTGATGTAATGTTCAAAGAACATCGTGAGAACCAAGGGAAATAAGGTAGGAATTGGTGTTCTTCTTAAATTTCTGGAGGTTATATGCCTCGGGAAACACCTCCCTTGGTAATGTGTTCCAGAGCCTCGCTGTTCGTTGGATGAACTAGTCTTTGGAAAGAGATGTTCTGCATCAGGTCTCCAAAGTGACCACGAAGGGGTGCGAAGCCTCAACTCGACGGGTTAATCTCGCGGAGACTGCCAAGGGAGAAACAATTATTGATATTTCAGAAGAGCATGGTCCATGAAAATATCTATAAAATAGAGTCAGATCACCAACTTTTCAACGGTGTTCCAGAGAAGTGAGTGAGATTGTGAGCGAGGCATCACCCACCAGACGAATTGCCCTTTTTTTGGACAGAATCCAACAGTTTCAGAGGGTATGTTTGGGTGCTGCACTCCAAATATGGAAACAGTATTCCAGGACAGGTCGGATCTGTGCCTTATAGATCATAAGCAGCTGACTGGAAGTGAAATAGCTCCTGGTCCGAAAGAAAACCAAGTTTTTGGGATGTATGGAGTATGTAGGATATTCAATTCAGAAGATTTCGACGCAAGTATCACGCAAGTAGGGCAATTCAGGAAGATATGCCGATTTTTCACATTTTTTTGATTTACTAATGTCACAATAATCATCAAGTAATGAAACTGATGCCATCGGATGTAATATTCATTTGGTAAAGAAGGCACATAATGCAAAAATGCAAAAAACAATGCAGACAAATGTTCGCACAGTATGTAAATCGGCATCTCTACCTGATATTAC